TTATCATCATCATCGAGATTCCTTTTTTTTTTTTTTTTTTTTTTTTTTTTACCTGTGTAATCTTGGATGCGGACGCAGAGACTCGTGGTTGCGTGCTCATTTTCGATTCGGAGGGTTTGGTCTTCATTGACTGGGACGAGTTGATGTGTGGAGGGATCGTAGCTGGGTCCGGCTGTCACTTTTAGACGGTATTTAGGGGTCTCGTTTTCTGGCATTATGCTGTCTCTATCGTGGTTCTATGGTTGGTTTCTGTAACTGAGTCTGGAGTTGTATAGTTCGGTATACCGATTCTTTGATGTTCAATGAGTTGAAAGAACAATTTGGGTGAATTTATCTATAGTAGCAAATCACACGGTACTTTCGAATTAAATTGCAATAGTACGGAGTAGTATAGAGTGTTTATAAAGAATGAATATCGAAGGTTAATCGAAAGACTGACGCCCATCGACGTCATCGCTCCGAGAGCCGTTGCCGAGAGCCTTATGTATCTTAGAAGCCCTAATCTCAACAGCCTATTCCATACTATGTAATGTATACATACATAGTCTAGGCATCCTCCCTTAGAATAAAAGAGCGCATTTCTCAGGTGACAGGGGCCAATCACTCCGACAACTGGTCCAAGCCATTTCGAGTGCGATGCATAAGAATGAGCTTCTTGTTGTTGATGGCAAATCCCCCGTTTCATGCGGTCCTTGTGAGCCTACTAGTACACAATTTAGCAACAAGACAACGTCATCTGCAATTTATCGAGAAGCCGATGTAGTCTCTTCGAGCCATGCGACTGGACAGCCTATGGACTATCATAATCAACCCTTCTCATTGATTACCGGGATAAAGGTTTTACAGTTGGGAACCAACCGTGATTCAAGTCTGTTCAAGCAGATATTGCGAGTATTTATCATACAAAGTAAATCCTAGACATAGATAACGCCGCAGCGTAGATATGCTACAAATGGAAACAATTGAGAGTAACGAAATGGTTCACACAAAATAGAACGTTAGCTAGAGATCGGCAGGATCAGAAGGTAAAGTATCAGTGTCGATACCCACGCCCTCAAAAAGCTCGTCTTCTGTCAGGATCCCGATACCACTGTCAAGCCGCCGTCGTTCCTTGCCTCGACCGACCTCAACGTCAACGAATCGCGCCACGCTAACAGGGGTAATGGGCTCGCTCCCGATGTTCGTGCCATCCGACTGTAGCTCATCCGACTTAAGTTCCCAATTGGCAGTGCGCACCTTTGCTTTGCGTCGCTCTGTCTTGACGGTTTCCTTCATGTAGGCGAAAGACCGTGCTTGGTCTGCAGCCCATTTCTCTAGCAAATCGTCCCTGGCCTGCATTTCAAGGCGCAGCTGTTCCTCTAAGCCAGCGTTGCTCTCATGAAGCTTGTCCACTTCCGATTTGGCGGTGTCCAGATATGTGGTCAGCTCGGCGATGTGGACGTTCATCCTCCCGACCTCCTGTTGGTGATCTTGGAGTTGCTCGACTGCCTGCTGTTCGGAGCTGTCAACCGTTTGCTTGAGTTCCTTTTCTAGTGATTCAATCTTAGCAGTCAAATCGCACACGCAAATTTTATTCAACTCAACAATCCCTTCCAACTCTTGAATACGTGCCTCTCGCTCTGCAACAGTCGACTCGGCTACACGACGGGCGCTTCCTTCATCTGCTACTCTCTTTTCCTGTTGCAACATCTGCTCCTCGTGTCGTTTGGTAGAGACGACCTTGTCCTGTTCGAGTTCCGTCACGAGTTTCTCAAAGCTCTTGACCTCTACACGGTATTTGCTAAGAGCTTCATTTAATCTCTCAATCCCTAGGGCTTGCTCTTTCCCTTCACGCTCAAGCTCCTGCATCCGCATTCTCGTGTGAAGCATATCGCCTGCGGAAGATGCAATAGATTCTTCAAGATCGCGTATTTTCCTTGATGCGGTTTCATAGCGGGTCAACAGGGTATCGAATTGGCCGCGCAATGCCCGTTCTCGCCCAAGAGATCCTCCATGTCGAGTGCGTTCTTCACTCAAGCTTTTGACGAGCAGCTCGACCCTCCTCACAAGTGCGCTGAGGGTTGTATTCCCATTATCTAAGCTTGAGCTGGGCGTTTCCCCAGGGACTGCACGCTCCAGCTGTAAGCGTGCTGATCGGAAGCGACTACGCATTTCCGAAATGATCTCGTCCATGCTGCTACCGGGGAACCCTAGACTAGAAAGCTCCTGTTTGACAGCGTCCAATGCGCCGATAGCGTCTGAAGCGCTGGTAAGAGCTCCTGTTAGTGTAGGCAAAATTTGATCGAAGAAATCTGGCGGGGGAGAAGACCGCTGGAGGTAAGGTTCAGTTGTAGTTCCCGGGAAGGAAACAAGCCTCGTGCGCCATGCGTTGAAAAAATCCCGTTTCTCCTTCCTAGCAGCTTCTAAGTCAAGCGACAAAGCAAGGAGCTCAGCGTCTTGGTCATGGCCAGACAGAGACGTTTGAGCTGACGCATCTGTATTGGGGTCTGCGGGGACCAGATGGGTGAAATCATCTGGAGATGGTCGAGGAAGCTGTATGCCACGCATAATTGGAGAATCGGACATGAGAACCGTGTCTCCCTCAAACCCGCTGTCAATGATGATTGTGTCACCTTCAGTACCGGCGTCATCCGATTGATCCTCGGCGTTTGCAGCGGAGGAGGGCGAGATCTCTTGCCTCAGCTGGCTGTTCGAGGACTCCAAATGCTCTAGGTTAGACTGAGGGGATAGCCCCAGGATTTCCTTACTGCGTGAATGGTGTTCTGGAGTGCCACTGTTCCGTTTTACCAACTCGAGCTCCTGCTTCAATGTATCTCTTTCTTGCAGCAGAGCTTGCAGGGACTTTTGGTAATGCGCAGACTCCCGCTTCTCTCGTTCAAGTTGATTAATCTCATTACTCAGGCCCAGTCGCCGGATTCTCCGCTGAGTCCGGGAGTCCAAAATTTGCCGTAAAGGCGTAAACTGCACCACTGTCTTTGATTTGGAACTATCAATAGGCAACACAGAACCCAGCGAACGACGAGATTGCGGAAGTGGGGTTGAGCGCCGCCGCAACCGGCGGCTTGGGGTGCAATCAATGCCATCTGTGGAATCATCGGGTTCTTCGAACGATGTGCGAACCATTGCTGGGGTAAGGCCTGTAGAGCATCCAAGGCAGTTCCCTTCTAGCCGTGGACCCGGATCTGAGAAACGAACTCTTTTTGTTGATTGGCGGGGTGTTTCGCAAGATGAGACTCCAGTACTAATTCCCCCAGACACACGAGGGTTCCTGTATGAAGTGGAAGTGCGGGGCTCTGAATTAGAGACCGAGTTGATGCTTCTTTTTCTCCGCGTTTGTCTGGTGTTCATGGTGGTCCTTGCTTAATAGGCTATTTTGTTGTGTGTATGTGTGTATGTATGTATATCAGGGAATTGGAACAATTTATATAGATAATGCTTGGTTAGCCTATGCTTTGATGGCGGAAATTTATCGGGATGGTGCTGGTGTTGGTGTCCCCGGAGATGTGAATCAATAACAAACAATCGATGCTTTCAATTACTGCGAGTCCCAAGTAAGGAAGGAACTCATTCGTGCCTTCCGCACATCCATACGCGTTGGATCCATTTTCATTTCCCGATTGGGAAGACGTAAACAATCCTGGCATCAGGTGACCGAACTCTGCCTGAGGTTGACATTCCTGCCAGGTATTCTAATGGATATGGTTACACCTGTTGTTCATTGAACTCCTAAATTCTATTTATGGTTTATTACTATACTAGTACCTACCAGTACTATGTTGAGGAAAGCTCAAGCATTGTTGATTTCCATAGGTAGATTTCAATGGTCCAGGCGGGAGATAAGATAAACCCTCTCTCAGCTCTACTGTGTACTCCGGGAGTATGTAATTTTAATGTAAGTATTTTATTTTTATTTTCCCCTCATGTCATGCTGTTCCCCAGTGATGTCATCCGTCCGCCCGCCCTAAAGAATTTAGAGTAATAATCCAGCAAAGTAACTGAACTCCGGATTCATGTCGATCCTTTACCTTATCTTTCATACTTCCCCCTACGAGTACTCCATTCCTCCTGTCAACATAACCGCCCTTGATAGCTGTCTGGCCTTTCATAATCAGCAACTTCTAGTGCTTGACTTTGTTCTTTACAAACTTTCTTGTTCCTCCATCTGAAAGGCTTCCCCATGGCCGTTTCCCCTTCATGGATTTGAAATCTAGTACTAGCCTGGCCCTGGAGAAGATGAGCCACACACCCACAGTACAAGAGGTCGACGACGATGAAGTCTTTCCCGAGATGCGGATGAGCACCAATACAGCCCAGGACACAGAATCGCCGTTGTTACAGCTTCCGACCGAGCTTTTACATTTCGTTCTATCGTATCTTTCGGCACAAGACCTCGCTCGTCTGTCGGCCACCTGTCGCTGCTTGGCCGAGCACACGGCTAACGATCTGCTGTGGGCCAACGTGGTCAACTCCTACTTACCAGAGAAAATTCACGATTCGGGACCATTTGGCTCCTTTCGCAGTCTCTATATTGCGTACCATCCTTGCTGGTTCATCCCCCAGAAAAAGATCTGGTTTTCAGATACTGAGCACACGGGCAATCTAATCCTGGCCCGTTACGATCACCGTCGAGGCGTTATCGAAGCGTATCGGGTTATTGCAGAACGGCGTTCACCCTCGCACAAGTTCCAGATTTGGGAATGGAATCCAGAGGTTATTATTCAAACCTTTCACCCGAAACCTAGCCTTTGGCTAGACAGTCCTATATTACTCCTGAGAAATCATGATGGTGAACGGCATTATCTGCGCGGAGAGATCCGCATGCCCTTGCCGTTGGAATCACAGCAGGTCTTTAATTCCTTATCGTTTTGCCCCAAGGGACCTCCTCCAGACCCCGACCCATATAAGCAATGGCCGCCGCCCATTGTACCTAGTCGAAATCGCGTATATCGGAGCCCCGAAACGCATGGTTCGGAATGGGAGCGTAATCCTGGACTTCTGGAAATAATGTCAGAAGATGCGTTTCGGATTAGAAGATGGGCGCATTTTCGTCTGGGTATGCCGATGTTTGCTGCCGGCCGAAGCGAGACCTTATCGACCTACGCGACACTTGATCCGCACCTATATACGTCTACCAGGCAAAAGCCCTATCAGGGTATATGGATTGGAGATTACTCCGCCCACGGATGTGAATTCCTGCTTTTCTTGCAACGTGATAGCGAAGATGGGCTTAACGGTACGCCTGACGAGGGCGAGTCTGAGTTCCTTCATGATGGCATTATCCAGAAAGGTAGCCTCGAGGCTATCAAACTAACTGGAGACCCCAATGTCCCTCGAGGCGAGCTCTCATTCATTTCGGATGACATCGGACCTAAGGGTTTTGTCCGTGTCGCAGATGAATCGCTTTTCCGAGGGGCGAGGATTGTGCGTAGTCGAGGACATGTAGCGGGTCTCGGGTTTAGAGACGGTAAGCTGAAACGAATCGCATTCCTGTTGTTTCGTGTTCTGACTCAATACTTAGATACTTTCATCGCCTCACAACTTATTCTCATATCACCTGATTGTATAGCTCACTATTGGGAGACTATGGGGCATATCTCGTATTTCCGCCGCCTCGACATAGACGAACTTATTCGGATATGAGCGGATGTGTGATTATTCTTACGACGTAACGATTCGTGCCTACTGCTTGCTCCCCTCCTTGAGAGTTAATGATTCAAATATATGTATGGCGGCTGTGTACACACTGTCTAGATGACAAAACCATGGTTGGCGCGTCGAACACCCCTCGATGAACACGTATTAGGCCAATCCTGATGTCTTGAGTGAACATCTAGTTGATTAATGCGGCTTCGAATCATAGTGGATTCCGTGCACGGGAGACCAACCAGGGATGGTAAATTAGAAGAACCGTGATTGGACCCAGGAATCCAAGGATCCCTATACTGGCGACCCCAATCCACCCCCCTGCGACACTATATTGTTACTCAGTATCGCCTGCTAGACTCGCACAAGCTGTATGAAAGCTGTCAGAGTCTGTAGACTAAGTATACACACACCCGGAAGGTTGGGGGAAAAAGGCATAATCATTCCCCGGACAGCGCGACGAGACAGGGCAGCTTGAACTACCGCGGCCGGTAACCTTATGTACAAGCGAGTATACTCGGGAGAGTGGAATGGGGACCCATGTAAAGCGAACATAATGCCATACTGAAACCAAGATATACAGTCAAGGTGAGAGTTCCTAACGCCACGGTCCCCCATACCGGACCATATGAAGGACAAGGTAATCATCAATCGTAATTCAAGCCGCTATGCAGGACGCCCAAATTTCAGTCACGACGGCTCTCTTGATATTTGTTTTTACAAGGCACGCACCCTCTCGACATGATGTCCCAAGCTGAATTAGGGAAAACACAGAGCGCACCTCCGGTATCAAGTGAATCCACCCGAAGCGTCGCCCCGATTTATCCGGATAATCCGGAGTAGATAAATCACCGCCTGCGCTCGAAATAGCTGGTGGAACCCAGGACGGCAACGGACTGATCCATCACCCACTCTCCAACACCGAGATAACTATCGATCCATTTCTTGAAGTCCTTGTTATCGGTGATTTTGTCGGAGTCGAGACTGGGGCTGTGAAGATCCCCACGCAGTTCCCTCGAGGGGGCGCGGGGTGACAGAGTTAGCCGAGGTTCCAGCAATCGTTTGAAAAGTCGTAAACCATGGTCATTGTTTCATATCGACAGGCTACAGGAACAGGAAAAACAAGCGTAGGAAGGGTGTAGTTACGTAAGACCAGTCGAACGCTTCACACCTGCCAAAAAGGCAGAGACTGTGATGGTTAGTATCTGTTGACCGTAGATAACAATGAGCAAAGGAGAACCTACAGAGGACAGCGTCAAAAGCGTAATGGGTGAGTCGGCCGAACTAAGATGGTCAACGATCAGCATGTATTCCCAGGCGAAAAAAAAAGTCAATACTCAGGTAGCTAGTCAAATACAAACAGAGAGCTATCGGGGAGTAATAAACGTACCATGGTGACCATATCAGGGCTTAACGATGAAACTAGACTTGTCCTCACCGAGTATAGAGGATCAGGTAGAGCTTGTGGTATGTACGATTTGTGTGACTCCAAAATTAGGAGCTGGAAAGATGAGGTCCACTGATAATATGCAGGAAGAAAGAAGAGGTACTCCCCGCGAGAACAGGCTTCGGGGAGGTGAGCTGGCTCACGTGCATTTTTCACATGACGTGGTGAGAGATAGGCGGTGAGATGGACAGGGGGCTGGGGGATGTGGCTGGGGGATGTGGCTGGCTATATTTGGAACTTGCGCTTGCACACAAGTAGCTAAAGTATAGGATCCAGTGTTATGCGGAAAACGGATTAGTCATGATACAGTATATTTAATTATGCTATGGCATTTATGCTTATCTCGTTTGGCTGCCTTATGTCCTCTGTAGTCCCACTATCTCGGACTTGACAACTCCTCGCTGCATGCCATGAGCCTTGGCACGGAGTAGTACTACGTAGTATGGTGAGCATGTATCTCAGTACTCAGTATGTACTCGGTGTCCTCGGTGTCCCTGAAAGGAGATTCCTCTTCCCAAGTCAGACAATCCGAGAATCATAAGGTATTTGTTTGTTTGTTTGAAACAGTTACTTTAATGTCAAATATACCTCACGACGTTACTGTTTCTTATTCTATAGGGAGAGTGGTCTGACGTCGAGGATCGTTTGAGATATTACATGGTGTACTAATCATGTGGTATTGAGCCACCATGATCGTACACATCATATAGATAGATGGCGGGGACACCGTACATAGGTGGATAAGGCAACAATGGGTGAATTTGGTCTGCTCTGGAAGTGGAGTGTGGGAAAACAGTGCCAGATGGCAGTGTACTCCGGAGTTGATGGAGGTTCTTGGTGTCTTTCCTCTTTCGGACCTCCGACAGGTCCAGTTGATCATTTGTTTGTTTTTTCGTGGGTGGCCAAAATTGATATAGATATCGGATGAATAATTAGTAAAGGTAAGAGTTACTGGCAGCCGATCCATTGTAAAAAAGACAAGAGGGGGAAAAAAAAATCCCAGAGTTGTGCCAGCCGCGGGGAACCGACCGGAGATACTGGGCAACCTGTCTTCCTTTCTCAACTAATGAGAAGGCGGCCAACAACATTTTCCCTCCCGGGCACACACCCACTCCCGCAAATCAAACCAAACCCAAAGCAGCCCCTCGCTCACCGGCTCTCTTTCTCTGGCCAACTTCTCCGATCTTTTTTTATCGCCCATCTCCCCCTCCTCTTCTTCCACCCCCCCAATTCTTCCATTCATCCAAATCACAACTTCCTCTCTCCCAATCCATCTTCTCTTCTTCATCTTTCCAGTGTAGACAGGGAAGCTTTCAAAATGGCCGCTAGCAGCTCTCTCGACCATTTGAGCAACCGTATGAAGCTGGAGTGGCACTCCAAGCTGAACACGGAGATGGTGCCCGCGAAGAACTTCCGCCGCACCTCCATCATTGGCACCATTGGTAAGTGTCAACCATAAAATCTCAGGGTCTCCTTGCCCTCCCCTCACCCTAGACTAGGTTTTAGTAATTCATATGGATGGTGCTAACGTTTTTTCCCATTGCAGGCCCTAAGACCAACTCGGTGGAGAAGATCAATGCTCTCCGCAGATGTACGGCGAAGCCCCATGACCTCTGTAATTTCTTTAGCTGACAGCGATTCAATAGCCGGCCTTAACGTTGTTCGCATGAACTTCTCCCACGGTTCGTATGAGGTGAGTTTGTCACTCTTCCTGGGGTTTCGTCTTTGTCGTAGGTCTGATTTGCTAATTTTCACCGTAGTATCACCAATCTGTTATCGATAACGCCCGTGAGGCCGCCAGAGTCCAGACCGGACGTCCCCTCGCCATTGCTCTTGATACCGTAAGTCTAGACCGGAGCTTTGCCAGGGCTAAACAATACTAACCAGCACTGCAGAAAGGACCTGAGATCCGTACCGGAAACACTACCGATGACAAGGATATCCCCATCAAGGAGGGCCACGAGCTCAACATCACCACTGATGAGAAATACGCCACTGCTAGCGACGACCAGAACATGTGAGTCTTCATCAATTCCCCGGATCAGTCCGTGAATGGCTTGGTTGGAGGCCCGGGTTTGTTTAGACTAACAATGTAATTGTTAGGTACCTGGACTATAAGAACATTACCAAGGTGATCGCTCCCGGAAAGCTCATCTATGTCGACGATGGTATCCTCTCCTTCCAGGTTCTGGAGGTCGTCGACGACAAGACCCTACGCGTCAAGTGTCTTAACAATGGTAACATCTCCTCTCGCAAGGGTGTTAACCTGCCCGGCACCGATGTTGACCTTCCCGCCCTTTCCGAGAAGGATATCAGTGATCTGAAGTTCGGTGTCAAGAACGGCGTCGACATGATCTTTGCCTCGTTCATTCGTCGGGGAAGTGACATCCGCCACATCCGTGATGTGTTGGGTGAAGAGGGTAAGGAGATTCAGATCATCGCCAAGATTGAGAACCAGCAGGGTGTCAACAACTTCGACGAGATCCTTGAGGAGACTGATGGTGTCATGGTTGCTCGTGGTGATCTTGGTATCGAGATCCCCGCCCCCAAGGTCTTCATCGCCCAGAAGATGATGATCGCCAAGTGTAACATCAAGGGCAAGCCCGTCATCTGTGCCACTCAGATGCTCGAGTCCATGACATATAACCCTCGTCCCACTCGTGCCGAGGTGTCCGATGTTGCCAACGCTGTTCTAGACGGAGCCGACTGTGTCATGCTTTCTGGTGAGACCGCCAAGGGCTCATACCCTTGCGAGGCTGTTAAGATGATGAGCGAGACCTGTTTACTGGCAGAGGTTGCCATTCCCCACTTCAATGTCTTTGATGAGTTGCGCAACCTCGCTCCCCGCCCCACTGATACCGTGGAATCCATCGCCATGGCTGCCGTTAGCGCTAGTCTTGAGCTTAACGCCGGTGCCATTGTTGTCTTGACCACCAGGTACGTATCGTATGGTCTCGTTAAAACTAGACATGTTCGCTAACTGGCCGGTGAAGTGGTAACACTGCTCGCCTTCTTTCCAAGTACCGCCCTGTGTGCCCCATCCTGATGGTCACCCGTAACCCCAGAGCTTCGAGGGTAAGTTGCCAATTCTGTATATCGTCTATCGTTATGAATTGCGCTGATTGATTTGTCTGTAGTATTCTCACCTTTACCGTGGTGTCTGGCCCTTCCTCTTCCCCGAGAACAAGCCCGACTTCAACGTCAAGATCTGGCAGGAGGACGTTGACCGCCGTCTCAAGTGGGCTATCTCCCACGGTATCAAGCTCGGTATCATCAACAAGGGAGACAACATTGTCTGTGTCCAGGGCTGGCGCGGAGGCCAGGGCCACACCAACACTGTCCGTGTGGTCCCTGCTGAGGAGAACCTTGGTCTGATTGAGTAAATCCAGACAGCAGTATCGCCCTTGTTGCATGACGTGGTAACGACAGCAATTGGGTAGGTAAATAGCGACGAGGGTGTCCTCAAATGTCGTAGACGGGTCTCGGCTAAGTATGACGACCGGAAAGCTCCGCCCATTTCAAGTGATCCCCTGATCCCCGAATCCTTCCTTGCGAGATTCATTAGTCGGGAGGGTGTAGCTTGGCGGTGGTGTCGGGTGAATGGCCGTGGAGTGTGTGCTCTTATCTGTCCCATTCGGTCCGGAAGCGCACGAGGTGACTCACCCTTCAGAACATAATCTGTATTCATCCTGAGTTGGCGTTAGTTAGCCTGCCTGCTTTTTGGTGGTT